ATACAAGGACTTAAGTTCAGAAAATCTGAATATGATCCCTGTTTTTATTTCAAAAGAAATGAGAGATCTGAATTCTTTTATCTGCTTTTGTATGTGGATGATATGCTCCTAGCTGGTAATGACTTTGATGCATTGAACTCTATAAAAGAAAAATTGAAGTCTGAATTTGAGATGAAAGACTTAGGACCTGCTAGGAAGATTTTAGGAATGAAAATAAAAATGGATAGACAAAATGAAAAATTGTTTTTTAACTCAAAAAGGGTACATTGAAAAGGTAATTAGACGCTTTTCATTGCATGATGCCAAACCTGTTAGTTTACCTCTATCTGCAAATATTAAATTGTCTATTGATCAATCGCCTAAAAATGAAATTGAATTTAAAAGAATGTTACACATACCATATGCTAATGCAGTTGGATCTGTAATGCACACCATGGTATGTTCTAGACCTGACATAGCCTATGCTGTGAGTGTTTTGAGTAGATTTATGAGCAACCCAGGTGAACTTCACTGGGAAGCTATGAAAAATTTAATGAAATACTTAAAGGGCACACAAAATTTAGGACTTATGTTTAAAACTAATAAAAATGGTTTAAGTTTGAAAGGCTCTGTAGAGTCTGATTTTGCTGAAAATTCTGACAATAGAAAGTCAACTACTGCATTTTTCTATGTGATAAATGATACATGTATTAGTTGGAAAGCTCAGCTATAGAAACTTGTGGCCCTGTCCTCTACTGAAGTAGAGTATATTGCTACCACAGAAGCAATAAAAGAAGGAATCTGGTTAATGGGTCTGTTAAATGAATTAGATGTTATAAGAAATAAGGTGGAGTTTTGTTCTGATAATCAGAGTGCAATTTTCTTGAGTAGAAATCCTGTTTTTCTTGATAGAACAAAATATATAGATGTTAAGTTTCATTTTATAAGGGATATTGTAGAAAAGGGTGATATAAAATTGGTTAAAATTTCTACCAAGGTCAATCCTTCAGATTTAGGTACAAAGGTAATACCTATCAATAAATTTTTTGATTCTTTGAAACTTCTGGATCTTGAAGTTTACTAATTTTTTATTCTTTGTTAAAAGGTAATAAAGAGCAAATGAAAAACAGTTTATGATCGAATCCACTTAACTAGCTTCAAAATTCCAGCAAGGTGGAGATTGTAAGGATTTGGGCTGCTGAAATCTTTGAGCCCAATTGACATTTAGCATGACCTGGCCCAGTGATATTAACACACTTACTGAAGGTTCTAGACTTGATAAAGTCGTATTTTCTCTGCTTGATCTCCTCCGCGTGGCATAATTGTGATCGTTGGATTGGTCTATGGGAGATGCCTCATATAACTAGGGTTTGAGATATTTTGTTCAACCCTAACTTTTCATTTTCTTAACTGCCGTTCTTCCTCTTCGAACTCTCCCTTTTTCTGTGGGTTTACTTTGTGATTTCTGTGTGAAATCTTTTTAAAGAATTGTTGAGATTTATCTATGTGTGAGATCTATGTTTAAAATCTGAGGGCCTCTTGTGATTCGGAGAAACGACAGTGTACTCTCATATGTTTGTAACTTGGTTTTGCCTAATATGGTTTTCTTGATAGTGGATTCGAGCTTAATCCGTATGGATGCTCAACGGGGATGTAGGCATTAGTTGGTCGTCGAATCTCGGGGCCTTTGTCCGAAAATTCTTTGTGTTGTTTTATAATTTTTCTGCACTTTGGATTTTGCATTTTACTGCAAAATACTCGAACGAATAAAAGATTTGAACAACTGGGACTAACAATATATGTTTTTATTCTCCGTTGACTTCAAATTTCCGGTTTTGACTTTAGAATTGAGTCGTTGATGCACTTTAATTCATGGGATCCAAATATGTATTGTACTTGTAATAGTTATGCACTTTCACAAAGTATACAGAATGAATTTTAGAAATTTAATGTTGTAACTTAAAAAATGAAATTGCTTTGCATTCATGGCATCTTTTCTTTTGTAAGAAATTTAATGTTTAGGGGTAGGGAGTGATTCATATGAATTGATGCCCTTTAGCTTTTAATATCTTTTGCATCGGGGGCGGAGCCAGGATTTTAGTTTACTGCGGGCAAAATTTTTTCGACGTCGAATGTGGAGGTTTTGGTCATGGATGTAAAAAAAAACAAAAGTACAACACTACTAAGCACAACAAAAGCACAAACCTCTGAGTCAACTATCATTTATATTGGATGATCCAACCAATGCACAACAATCATCACTTTGCTATGAACATAAACCTGTATGAGAAAAAGACTGAATTCAAATAAGGTTACTATAAAAGAATGAAAATTAGTTTCTTTTCATGTTTCAAAGAGAGAGCAAAAGCACCAGCAATAAAATAATGTACGTGTTAAGCCTTGCAAATCTTTGGAAAAGGAAATTTTTTCTGAAGAAGTATAATGTTAAGATATTGCTGAATGACATAAAAAACTGATCCATACTGGCTCTTCTCCAACTTACGTAAATTATACCAATTATCAAGGATGACTACTATCCTATTTTGCATCATGACTGAAAGAAACTTCAACATTAAATTGACAAAGTAACTTCCGGAATGCTATCTATGAAATAGCTCATGGAAGATTGGAAATATTACCGGACTTGTAACTAGACCACCATCAAAAAATCTACCATAAGTTCTTAAGACTATAGAATGATACGAAATCATGAGCAATCAGCCCCAACTTGGAGAAAAGTTTTTGCAATATTTAACTTTCTCCTCTGCAGATGGTACGGTATTGCCAATGCATGATGGCTTTTATAGTAGCTGCACCACTGTCATTCACACCCCACTGTTTATCAAAAGTATATATTGGAAAAAGAAGTATAG